CATTTATCACAAGGATCAAGCAAACGGATAACAGATAATTCTTCCGTTAAAGGATCATCGATGAGGTTGGAATCCTTCAAAGAAGAAAAGGAGAAGGTGATCAAGATCGAAGAAAGTTAAGTTCAATTCGCTCTTTTTGTCATTCTTGTGTTTATGGCTGTAAGCTTGTTTCTTTATCTTGACGGAGAAAAGCTGCATGTTATTTCTTGCAGGCTTACTTCAGGAGCTCGCGTTATAATCCAATCAAGAGCCCCATGTGATGAAAGTGAAGATAGCTCTAGCTCTTGAAACAAGGATGACCATGTCATGCCTTTGATCTTTTTGTTGTCTTGTAATATTCAAAAAAGTCTGTAAGTCCTTACCCTTTTAATGTCTTGTTTTTTATTTTCTTTTGTAGTTTTTGGTTTTCTTCTTCAGGTCATGTATAAGAACCTGACATCTTATTTTCTGCTAACGAAGGTAATCTAACCATTCTTTCATAACCTTTTGTTTGAGCGGTTGATAGTAGCTATAGGTCCAATCATTGATCTAATTGTGCATTAAACTTCAAAAGCATTTTGAAGAACCTTATGGCTCATCATCTACAACTAGTTTGTTAGAAGCCTTGGGCCAGTGAGACTGTACTTTACTCTTCGTGTAAGGATACTTTAAGGCTAGGCTACAGTTTGGGGTTATGAAATATTTGCATAAAGTATATATGATAAAACACTTGTATGAAGCATCACGGAGGCGAGTTTTGATCAATTTACTTCAGGTATTTATTATATATAATAAACTGAACTACATATCACTTGGTGTCTATTTTGGTAAAGAGGTTTACATCACAGAATTCTAGGCTGAACTGTCGCGCGCCTATGTGGAAGCGTGCTCGCTCACCAAACAAGTCGTAAGCACAGGAGAAGAATAATCAATCACACACAAGCACAATTCAAAACTGAAATGCGATAGGTCAATCACAAACACAGAGATATACGTGGTTCGACAATTTGCCTACGTCTACAGGGAGAGGATGAGGAGATTCCACTAAATCAAAAAGAGTACAAAGGGTTACAATCTCACAAAACTCACAAACTAACCCTCAACCAAAGCTCTTAACTTGCTCACAATCTCACAAAACTCACAAACTAACCCTCAACCAAAGCTCTTAACTTGCTCACAATATCTCTCTCTCACAATGCTCAAAAGTCTCTCTAATCTCCCCTCAACCAAAGCTCTTAACTTGCTCACAATATCTCTCTCTCACAATGCTCAAAAGTCTCTCTAATCTCCGATTACAACTCCTCTTTTTTTGATCCTAATCTCTTCTAAGGCGTTTCATATATATAGAAAACCTAAAACCAAAACAGACTAGGAATTCTAAAACAAAAAACAAAACAAATTAGGAATCCTAATAACATGTTACCAAAACAGATTAAGAATCATGTTATCAAAATATATTAGGAATCTTAATAACATGTTACCAAAACAGATTAGGAACCTGCTATCCAACAATTCTCCACCTCGGCGAAGTATTCCCAAAACTGAGCCGACGCCAACATGAGCACCAATGCGTCGTCTCACCAAATTCGGCTACACCAATGTGGTTGCCTACGTACCCCCTCTCTCAAGGGATCAAGCCGTCCGTAGTTCATCCAAATGGCCGTCAACGGCCTTAACAATCACGAATGTGCAACAAGCTTCTACAATGATCAAACTTGTTGATCGGAACCACCTTAGTGAGCATATCCGTCGGATTATCCTTCATGTGGACCTTAATGATCTCTACATCACCATCTTCAAGAACATCCCGAATGAAGTGATAACGAACGTCAATGTGCTTCATCCTCGTATGAAAAATCTGATTTTTTGCCAAATAGATAACACTCATGCTATCATAATGAATAGTGACGGACCGCTGCGAAATGCCAAGTTCCTCCAAAAGTCCCCGAAGCCAAATAGCCTCCTTCACAGCCTCTGTAATCGTCATATACTCTGCCTCCGTCGTCGACAAAGCCACCGTAGAATCGTAGACTATAAGGTGCATCTCCAACACACCGACGCACGGGTCAAAATGTCGTCTTCACATCCAACTGATCTAACTCCAATCCATATTGTACCACCAAAGCTAGCAAAATCCGAATCGAAGAATGCTCCACCACCGGAGAGAAAACCTCATTATAATCAATACCTTCCTCCTGTGCATAGCCCTTCTCAACCAACCTAGCCTTGAACCTCAATGGAGTGCCTTCAATACCTTCCTTCTTCGTGTATACCCACTTGCAACCAATCGCCTTCCGCCCTTTGGAAGCTCAACAAGCTCACATATATCATTCTTGTGAAGAGACTTCATCTCCTCCTACATAGCCACCTGCCACGAATCAGCCTCCGAACTCTGCTCGGCCTCTCTGAATGTAGTAGGCACCATCTCATCGATACTCTCCATCGAAAGTGCATACGCAACTACTGTTTCAGTATACCATGCTGGCATTCGTATGTCTCTCCTCTGTCTCCGAACCGTAATAGAATCCTGAACATGAGCTGTCGGTCCCTGATCCTGCACAACTGTACCTGTATCCTCCTCGTCATCGCCGTGCTCACCAAGCGTCACCTCAGCCGGCACTCTAATAAATACTGTACCATTTGGATAATGTGGAGTTGCATCTATCTTCACCACCTGCAATATCTCCTCTATCGGAGTGCTCTCCACCTGATGACAGCTGAAAAGCTTCAAGATAGAAGCCTCATCAAACGTGACGTCTCTACTCAGCATAATATTCCTATCAATTGGATCACATAACTTATATCCTTTGACACCACGCTTGAATCCTACAAATATGGTCTTCCTAGCTCGAGGTTCCAACTTATCAGTTATAACATGATAATACGCAGGGCAACCAAATACTTTGAGCTGGTCATAGTCATGTGTTGTCTCTCCCGACCACATCTCCATAGGGATCTTCCCCTCAATCACTGATAAAGGCAGTCTATTAATGAGTTGGTTCGCATATGAAAGTGCCTCAGTCTAAAAAAATCTTCTCCAAACCACTATGCGCCAACAAACATCGAATCTTCTCCAGCAAAGACCGATTTAACCTCTCTGTCACCCCATTCTGATGCGGTGTATGACTAAGCGTGAAGTGTCTCTCTATGCCATCGTCTCAACATAGCTAAAGAAAAGAGTCTGATGTATACTCACCACCATTGTCTTATCGCAACGTCTTGATCTTATTTCCTATCTACAGTTTTAATCTCTTCTTCCACTCCACGAATATATCTAGGACTTCGCTCTTCTTTGTCATGTGGTACACCCAACAGAGGAGAACGAACGTGGCGAACCAATGTCGATCACCAAGTGATGTCGTCTTGGTGGGACCCCAAACATCTGTGTGCACATAATCTAGGACACCCCTCGTCCTATGAATAACAGTCCCGAACTTCACATTCGTCTTCTTGCCAAGTACACAGTGCTCACAGAAATCCACTTTTTCTCCTTGCTCCTTTCAATAGCTCTTGCTTGCACAAAGCCTGTAGTGACTTTTCCTCATGTATGCCCCAACCTATAGTGCCAAAGTCTACTTATGTCCGTCTCTGAAATAACTAAAGCGATCTGGCCAACCTCGATGCTCCCCTTCAGATAATATAAATTCTGACTGCAGACTCCCTTTATCACCACTAAAGATCCCTTAGTAACTTTTGCTACAGCGTCCTCAAATGTCACCTTGAATGCTTTTGCCTCCAAAGCTTTAACTGAGATAAGATTCTTCTTCAGCTGAGGAACGAATCTCACATCCTTCAATTCACGAACTACTCCATCATGCATCTGAATCCTTACGGTACCTATCCCACAAATACCACAGGATTGATCATTTCCCATGACAACAACACCCCCATCGAGTCTCTCAAAAAATACAACTCAATCTCGCCTATGGGTCACATGATAAGTAGCGCCAGAATCAAGCATCCAATCCAATGCATCCAAATGGTTCACCTCCGGAGTAATCAAAAGAGAAAAGCTCGAATCATCGGAATCATCGTCTTTCGCAACGTTTACATCATTGGCCTTCGTGCCCTTTTTCTTGCCATTCTCCTTCTCTTTAATCATTGGACAATTATTTTCCAATGTCATTGTTCCTTACAGAACGAACACTGGTTCTTTGCTAACTGGTGACGACCTCTTGATTTTGACCTTCCTCCATTATCACGTTTTGGATATGAGTTTCTACCTCTCGTCGACAAGGTCTCTCCTGAAGTACTAGCGCGGAAAGTCTCTTTGTCATTCCTCTTCAATTCATAGTTTGTTAAAGCATTAGTAACTTCACTATAGCTGATAGAAGACCTCTCATTCAACAAAGTGAGCACGAATGTATCATACTCCTCATTCGGTAAGGAGCCCAACAAAATAATCGTCTTGTACTCATCCGATATCTTCTCATCAACATTCGCCAAGTCCGACAACAACTTAGTGTAGTTGTTCACATGAGCCGCTAGTGAGGTGCCTCTCGCCAAGTCCGACAACAACTTAGTGTAGTTGTTCACATGAGCCGCTAGTGAGGTGCCTCGGGACATCTGAAATCTGAACAATCTTCGCAGCAAGTGCAAACGGTTCTCAACACTCTTCGTAAGGTACTTATTATTGAGAATTTCTCACATCTTCATTACAGACGTCACCCCAATAACATCATACTTCAACTCCTGTTCCAAACAAGATCTGATCACCCCACAAGCGTTCTTATTCATCTTTTCTCATATCGCCTCTTCATATTTTCATGGTCTCTCTTGGACCATGATGGTCTTCTCCGAATTCTGAGCATTGAGCCCATCTTGAACGTCGCTCATCCACAAACCAAAGTTGATCTTGCCGTCATACTTCACCACACTAATTTTGGTGTTCTAAAAACCAACTTGGACTGTACTCGCCATCTTGCTGCTTTCACCAATTTCTTCACTCATACTCG